GCGGGGAGACGGGCGAGCCGCCCCGTCCTGGCCCCACGGCTGCGCTCGCCCCGCAGAAGAGGCGTTGCGGAGGAGATCTGAGGCGCAGCGGGGCGGGCGCCTCGGGTGGGGGGGCCCCTTTCCGCTGTCCAGATTCCAGGTTGCTCTACCGGAGAAAGCCGCCCCAGCGACGAGCCCCCAGCTGACGCCGGCCCTTCCCCCTCCGGGTTGGGCGTCTGGCAGCCGCCCTCACGGACCCCGGGAGACCCCGTGGGCTGCGCCCGGCTGCGGAGACCCGCGCTGGCCGCAGTCCTCGCTGGGGAGGCCCCTTTCTGCCCCTCTGGAGTGGGAAACGGGGCACGGTTTCCAGCTGCCCGGCGACGCTTTCCGGCCTCCCTCACCTCCGGCCAGCCTTTGCCGCATCGGGCCGAGACCGGCAGCGTTTTCTTGCAGAACGGGCGGCTTCCGTTCCGTGCCCAGGCCCGAATCCGGACTAGAAGCATCCTGTTCAGCAGCTTCATCGGGACCCTCTCTATGGTTTTGGGGAGTGGGGGGCATTTTACTTTTGGTTGGGGGGTTGATGGTCCTTTATTTTACTGTTTGTTCGGAGGAGGAGGAGGAGGAGAATATGCACTCAATATGGCAAGTGTTTATTCTGTTCCTGAAAGGGAAGTTGGGATGGTCAAGTCAGAAGTCATTCTCTAAATGGGTATATTTGCGTTATAGCTTTTAGCATGATGTGTTTCTTATATATGTCATCTGAAGAACAGTTAAAAGAACTTGACATGTAGCTGTCTGGAGACATTGGTGTCTTTGAAACTTCTGCTGACTTTAAGCGGTGGAACTGTCTGGACGGCTTCCCTGATGAACGGCCCTTGCGGGATTCTTGCAACTCCTTTGCCCCCTCCCCTCCCCTCCCTCCCCTCCCCCCCATCCCGAGCAGTCCATCCTGGGATCCTTTCTGATCTTCACACTGGACGAATACGGGTGGCCTCTAACAGGGCTGCTTGAGCAGATCAGGTTGCCCTGAAGGCTACTATGATTTTTCTCCCCATATAACTCCTTTTATAGAATAGTTTATATCAATAATTTAATATTAATTATATATATATACATAATGAA